TAACTTCTTTATGTTTTTTTTTTTTTTAATAATTATTGTTATTATTAATAGAGCGTGAGTGCTCCTGATATACCGGCTTTTTTTTTGTGAGTGTGCCCTTAGATCTATTAAATAACACTTAAGTGATTGGTTTGCAGGTGAGGATAGCTAGAATTTTTAACACTTACGGTCCTCGAATGTGCATCGATGATGGTCGTGTTGTTAGCAACTTTGTTGCTCAGGTGAGAGTTTTCTTTAGTTCTTTTTTCTTTTCTTTTTTTAATGTGGATAATTATTAATAATAATCAAATAATGGCATTTGGTGGCTGTGCAGGCGCTAAGGAAAGAACCATTGACTGTTTATGGTGATGGGAAACAGACAAGGAGCTTCCAGTATGTTTCTGATCTGGTAAGTACATTTAAACCCCCAAGACCCCCCTTTTTTTTTCCCTTTTTGAGCGCTAGCTTGTGGGTTGTCCAAGCTTAATCCATGAGTGCTCTATCTCCTTGCACGATGATTTGAGCCTTAGAGATAAGATTTGAAATGCTTGTCAAGAGTGAGTGGGAAAATGGGTAAACTTTTGTTTTACATCTTCAGCCTAGTAAATGCTATAATAAATGGCGCTGGGTTTAGATTTTCCTTTGGCGAATCAAACAATAATGAGCTAGTAAGTAGTAACTGAAAAAGACAAAAGCCATGTGACTGGTACCAGAGGGGGTCCTAGATGGGCCAGCTATTCTTAATTGCTGCTTTGTTTTGCATGAGCAATGTGTAGATGGTTTGTTTGTACTCTTGATTTTCTGCCATATAGACATGACATTTCTTCAAATCTATGGAACAAGAAGTACCAGTGTAAATGAACATGGGATCCCCTTGTTTGAACAATATTTTTGTGGGCCACTTTCCTCTTCAGATTTTTCTGTTTTGATCTTTGATGTGATGATTCTGGCACTTTATAGAGTGTATGTAATACCTTGGGTAGGCTTTTCTCAAAGATACCCTTTTATGAATGTCAATTATTAGGAAAACAGTTGTGCACAGCTAGTTTTCTTGTATGGACAATTGACTCTTTCTGTATTTATGCTAATTTTTAGTTTCCCTTGTTCTTCTTTCCTTGTTGTTTTATGTTCTACTTTTCTCTTTTTATGCATTTCTTATCAAGTTTCTAAAGATGCTGCTTGTCTTTCTCCTATTCTTATGCTCTGTAGTTTTTCACTCTTAACCTGTGTACTTAATTAGTGCAACAGACTAATATATGGCGGTAATTATCTGTTATGAAACAGGTGGAGGGTCTTATGCGTTTGATGGAAGGAGAACATGTTGGACCTTTTAATCTCGGAAATCCAGGCGAATTTACCATGCTTGAACTTGCTGAGGTAAGCATACTGCTCCAATGATCCTACATTCACAACCTTCGTTAGGCTTCACAGCTTTTACCTTTTTCTTTTTTAAAGCATGTTTCATTTCTACAAAATTAGAACAAGGGATATAACTTCTCTTAATCATACCATATATGATGCATGATTAAGTGGGAATAAATGGAAAAAGGAATATGACTGTGCAAGTGGGGCAATAAGAAGACAGGCACACATGCATGATACAGGCATTTACATTATTGGCCTGTTCTACCCAAGTTTCTCCACCATCCAACATAGAAGTGAAAATAGGAATGTGGAATGTAGTCAGAATATTTCCATTTCAACCAAAAAGATTAGTATTATATTCTTTGAAAACTGCCTAAACTATTAGGAAACATATTCCTGATTACGGAAATTGTGATTTTTGTTGGCAATGCTGTAAAAAGATCTAGGAGGCTGTCTATTTCTTTGATTTAGAATCTGCTCTGGCCACTGTCATTTTAGAGCTTTTCATTCTTATCCTTTCTCTAATGGAATCAATGAGACAAATTCCCTCCAACTAAACTGTAGAAAACTTGCAAAGTGTAGCACTGAGCATTCTCCTTCATCTTCTGTTTATAGGTGGTCCAGGAAGTTATTGATCCAAATGCAAAGATTGAGTTCAGACCCAACACAGAAGATGATCCCCATAAGAGGAAGCCTGATATCTCCAGAGCCAAGGAGCTTCTCGGTTGGGAACCCAAGGTTTCCCTCCGTAAGGGTCTCCCTCTTATGGTTTCAGACTTCAGGCAACGCATCTTTGGTGATCACAAGCAGGGTAGCGGCAGCAGCAAGACCACTCAATCATCATCTTAAGTTGGCATTCATACATTCAAATTACAGAGGCAGATATGTTCGTCGGGTAAAATTAAATTTCCTCTCGAGTCTTGTTCCCCGGAAACGACATGGTTAGAAACAGCAGCAGCAGTAGCTGTGCAGCAGATGGGGTCCTTTTACCTTTGTTCTCTTTAGAATAGATTTGGAGGTTTCCATTTTTACATATGTTGTGTATCACCATTCTGTAATTTCCATGTTATACTTACCCGCTTTTAATCTTTTTAGCCAGTGAGCTTCACCAATCATAAAAATTACAATTTATTCTTTTGAGGTGATACATATATTTTTTAAAGTATTTAATTTGCTGCTTAATTTGCACGTTTGAATCCCTTCTAACTCTTTGGCAAAAAGAGAAAACCCTCTTTAACTCGTAGTTTTTGTAAGCATTGTTTGCATACTAAATTGTACTAAAATGTACATCACTTATTATTATTAAATAAGGGTGATTCTTTAACATTAGAAGGTGTTTTTTTTTTTTTAAGATAATTTAGATAAAATAACAGAAAACTCTTCTAACAAATTTTTTGTTTTTTTGGATCAAAAACAAATTACATATCATTTTATTTCATTTTCCTTCAAAGACATCATTTTATTTCATTTTCCTTTCAAAGAAAATCAATTCACGGTTAGAAGAAGATGAAAACAAATTCATAAACCCCACGCCAACAACGCAGCAATTTACATTGCCGAGTGGAGATTACTGTGCCCCTTCAATCCGGAGAAGTAACTCTCGTGTGAGTGTGTTCTAGCCTCCTCTGCGGCAGCTGAAGGTGTAACATTGCTGAAAACACATCCATCAAGAATTGGCTGAACAATAGTATCATGGCTGCGCTTGTCAAGCCAAGCTATGATATCGGCAAAAACAATTTCTATGTTTTTGTCGGGTTCACCAGATGTCAAAGCGTGCCACATTCCAGGGTACAGCTTTATAGTCTTGTCTTTGCTGCTGGCTTTCTCATACAAGGCCTTGCTCACTTCTGGATCTGTAACTATGTCTGCCTCTCCATGTAACACAAAGAATGGCAGCGTTATCTGTCAAAACAACCCCAACAACTGATATAAATGTGAAGTAAATGAATGTAGGTGATTTCTATTGTGGACAACAATAGTTTTCTGCCTTCCATGTTTCTTCAAATGGCATAAATCAAAGGGAGAAATAAAAAACAATACTGCAGGAGGAGGAACATGGAAATTGGTTAACCTCATGTAAACTATCTTCAAGGCTCGTGCTGGCTCTGAGCATTTCCAGTGCTGTTTTCAGTCTTGGTTTGTCTTGATATATCAACTTATTGTTCCTTACCTACATCAAGAATTCGAGACTCCATGATCTTCATCTGGTTACCAAATTGCCTTATTTCTATGAGCTAATTCAGGAATTTTAGAAAGTAAAAGAAGGGGAAGTGTTTTTACCTCTTCCCTCTTAATGGGGTCCTTGAACGCTGAGTCAATAACATCTTTGGTTGGTACTATCTTCCATTTAGGTATGATTTCTTCCATTTTAGTCAAAATGTTGACAACGAGAGGGTGTGGCTTCACTTTCTCTGATATCTAAAAATTTTTACGCATGATTAGAATTACAGAATAATGAATGTTATGGTCTGTAATGTCCTTGTAGATGTATACCTTACACATAGGTGCAACAAGAATAGCACCATTCCAAAAGGAAGGGTCCTTTTTGTGCAGAAGCAGGGTCACAGCTCCTCCCATTGACTCTCCATACAAGAACCTGCTCTTGCCCCTGTATTCTTCCTGCACTGGAGATGCGTGTCAACAGATTCCTTTCAGCTGTTATATTTAAAATATATAGATGCATTAGCTGTAAGAGATGTGGGTTAAGAACATACTACAGACAGACTTGAAATATTCGCTGCAGTCATTAACAATGTTGTCAAACTTCTTTATGTAACAACGAGCACCCCTGGACCTTCCATGCCCTTCATAGTCAATCCCGTATGCACCATATCCTGCACTTGCTAGCCTGGTTCCACATTCTAATCAAATCATGATGTTAATGTCACATTAAAATGGGGCCTTCAAAAGTACATTTATGAATTTATACTACACAAAATGCTTTTGATTCATAAATTTTCATAAACCAACCTTCAACCCACATCCTCTCACCAAGCTATTGAAGGGGACCATACAACAAAACTTGCTGTACTTGGTGACTTTAATTAGGTAGTTAATTCTCTGCCTCCTACCAAAATAGAAATGCAGGATTTGCCAGAAGCATAAAGGAAACAGAACAAGAAGGTGGACTGACTTCTTCCAATCAGTACTCCTTTTATTTTCTTATACTTATTAATTGATCTTTCTAGGTATCCTTCTTAGGTTAGATGTATCCTAGTGGGTAGTTTGCCAACTTAACTGGCCCAGTTGACCTACATTTTGCATTTGATTTCAGATGCGGAACCTGACCCTCAACATTGATCATGCAATTAGTTCAAGTGTTTATAGTAATGTGAACTATGAAACATCACCTTCAAAATCTAACTGGCAAATGGTAAGTGATAAAATAACGTGCACGTCATATTAACAGAAAAGGCACCTCGTGACATGATAAACAAATACTTAGTCAAAGACATTTAGTTATAACAACTGCATTTTATAAAATTCGTTCAAGGGAAAGGAAGAGGCTTAATAGTCAAGGGTATAACAGCTTGGTTGGCTTACTCATAAAGAAAGCCCTGAATAAAGCCAAGTCCATTCCTACGTATAAGATAAAAGATGAGGTCAAGTTACCACCGTCGGCTTTCCATGGGATTACTAAGTAGAGCAATATTGAAAAAATACGTAACAGAAAATTTTGGCAGGTTGTAGACAATGACTAACTAATTTTATACCCATTTTGTTTGGTTACTCACCCTCAAATATATGACTCGTTCCTAACAGAAAATGAAACATCTTTTGCAATAATTGCATTGCACCATCCATTTTCTTTTTGTTTGGTCAAGAACAAATTGAAAAGCATAGTTTGCTGATACGCCTAAACAAGAAATAAGGTGGTGGATAAGGTGATTGTGGGGGGAAGTGTTCTAAGGGGTTCAGAGGCAGTCCTAATGTCCTATCTATTGGAGTAAATTATTTTCCAACCAAAATTTTCCCCAGAATAGAAATGTTTAATTTTGATAATTTAACTTCAGCCATTAGATTGAATTAATCAAAGGGCATACATGCATTATTAGTTTATTATTACAATGAATTCTATTTCGAAAGTAAATTACAAGGAATTAGAGATAGGAAAATGGAGAGGGAAAACGAGAAAATAAAAAAAAAGGGCCATTAAAGAGCATTTATTACCTCGCATATATCCACTGCACTCCATTCCATAACCTGCAAGGGCATTAATAAAGTAAATATAATTCGGACCCCTTTTTTTTTTCATTTTGGGTAATGAATTTTCAACAGAAGAAGTACACATATACAGAGAAAGAAGAGCTACCATGGCAGAGGAAAACAAGCGCCTTTGGAGAAGACAAAGGCAACCATCTACAAGTAAAAAGCAGAGCTCCCCTCGAATTCCTTATATGCTCCTACCAGCACACACATTGAGCAAAAAAAAAGCCATAGATTTTTCATGTCAATCTCAATGAAACAACAAAAAAATTAAGACAAAGATCAAGAACACAAAACATTAACACCAAACAACCTTTGTATTTCCCATGTTAAATCTCAACGACACAGCAAAAAATAAACAAAACAAAACAGCAAGATAAACAAAATGACGAGCTACGACACAAAAGGAGGAAACCCCATAATTAAAAACAGGTAAGGACTTACCTCCTGGTACTGAAACATCTCCATCTTCATTGAAAACACAAGAACAGAAGAGCAGCAACGTTGTTTTGAACAGATTACAATGTCAGGAACAAGCTTTTTATCCACAATGACAAGGAGATCTCCGGATAACACGACTAATTATCCACAGAAGAAAGAAGATTGATAAAGAGAGCAAATGTTGGTGGAAAAATGGCACATGAAACGGAAGAAGCGAGAAACAGGGGAAGGGATAGAGATGGAGACACGCGGAGAAATGGGAAGGTTTGTTTACTTAATAAAGAAAGGTGAGAAATTGATAATGCTAGGAAAGAGACAAAGACGGTGGTGTGGTGACGATGAGGTGGCGTTAGGATTGGAATAAGCCCATACCAGAACCAGAGGTAGGATGTTTGGTCAGCTCTTGCCTTCCATTGTGGACGATGCGCATCCCGATGCCTGAAGTCTGAATTGTTCTGCTTTCGGGTAGGTTTATTTAGGGAAATGATTTTTTGTGTGTAATTTTTTTTTAATTTAACATGTTATTTAAAAAAAAAAAAATTAACATGTTATTTGCACCTGGTTCTTGAGGCTCAGTGGCATAGCCACCCGTGTATTCTCCTCCCCTGGCAGGGTTCAAAACCTACTCTTACAAAATATGTTCAAAAAAAAAAAATTTTTAACATGTTATTTAAATGATAAATTTTTTAATTTATATAAAATTTATGATATTAAATATATTTATTTATTTAATAATATATAAAAATTATATAAAAATTGTTCTGTTTTCGGGTAGGTTTATTTAGGGGAAT